CGTGGTCAATGAAACACATATAGACATTCCTCTGGTACTCTCTGCTTTCTGCCAAGATCCATCTAACATTAGCTATAATATCTCTAGTACCATAATCTCTTCTAAATCCAGCCTGCACATCTGGCAGGTCTGTGTTGATGTGTTGCTCCAATAGTTTTTGGATAATTTTCAGCAGAATCTTGCTTGTATGGGTAGTAGCTTAAATATAATCTGCAGGCTGTGGTGTCTGTTCTACTTTTTGTTGACCAGCTTCCATCTTCTCTCTCCTGCTCAAAGGGAAGACTTCCAGCCCTATCAATGTGTGGAAGATTCTGGGGATCAGGTTGACTGGAGAAGGACCCTCTCCTCTAGGATATAGGGCCCCAGTATTGGGGCCAAAGCCAATCCACCTCAAATATCAATTTACAACTAAGAAGGACAGCTATCTACGAGTTACATCAAGTCCCAGGTCCTGTACTCGCTGCCTTAGCTATACTTAGACTCTCGTGACTTTGTCCTGCCATTGTCCAGCTATCTCAAAGGACTCTGTTCGAATTCACCAGCTCCTTCTCTGGACTAAGGTGAGCAATGTCCTTCATGCAATTTATAGCCTCTGAAAACCTGTTAGAGGGTCAACTATGAGTGACTTCCAACTTGCTAGTACATAACAACTCAGAAATAATTCTTTGCACTCTACATTGATGAGGAATGTGAAGTCCAGAGAGGCTTGGCCTCTTGCCCAAGGTCACATTTCAACAGCAGATCAGGATTCAGACTTAGAGTTATCAGCAAAGAACTATATCATCTTGCGATTAGAAAATCTGAGCTCAATCATTTGAACAAAATAATACTGCAGTGTTCTTTGAGTCACATTCGCTAACTGGCCAGAGGGTCTACAGTTCCTCAGTAAAGCCTGGCTTTGCCATCATCCTCCCTCCTCAGCCCTTTTTTTTTAGTTTGCTGACAAAGTTTGTATATATTTTGTTTTTCAATTGTGTTTCTTCATTCCCATTGTGTTTTATACAATCATTCTCAAGCATTATGTTTTATAAAATTATTCACCAAATTAATCATTGGATCTTGCCCATAATTAACCTGTCTTTTCACCCAGATCCTTCCTATTTCCTTCCCCCTCTTCCCTCACTCACCAACTCTGTGATTTCATCCCTACCCATCCTCAGCACTCCCCCCTTGAATTTCCATACATGCTTTACTAATTATCCTTCTATTTTTACAATAATGGTATTATGTAGTATTTGTCCTTATGTGACTGCATTAGTTCACTCAGCATGATACTCCCAAGTTATGTAGTATTTTTTGAAATAATTGTTCCTGAGTGCATAGTATTCCATTGTGTGACTGTACCACAATTTCTCAATCTATTCAGTATGGTTGGACATTTGGACTGTTTCCATGTTCTTGCGATGGTGTATAATACTGCTATGGACATGGTGGACAAGGCTCTGTTTGTGTCTCAGTTGTAATTTTCTTAGGGTATAGTCCTAGTAGTGGAATAGCTAGATCATACAGAGTTTCAGTGTTCAACTGTTTGAGGAAATGCTGAACTGTCTTATAGAGCCATGTTATAACCCCACCAACAGTGTATGAGAGTTCCACCTCTCCACACCCTGTTAAATATTTATTGCTTGTTGCCCTACTAAATTTTGCCACTGCTACTGGGGTGAAATGGCATCTCTGTTTTGATTTTATTTTGATCTCTATTTTGTTTTTATTTGCATCTCTATTGTCAGTGCTTTTGAACATTTCTTCATGTGTTTGTTGGCCATCTGAATGTCCTCCTCTGTGAAAAGTCTTTCCATGTCTTTTGCCCATTTTATAATATAGTTATCAGTCTTTTTCTTCTGGAGGCCCTGTAGGATTCTGTAAACTTTTGTTATGAGACCCTTGTCTGAGATGCTATTGTCAAATGTTTGTTCTCCAGTGGTCGATTTTCTTTTCACCCTCTTGGAAAACGTTTTTGATGAGTACAGAGATTTAATCTTTAGAAAGTCCCATTCATAAATTTTATCCTCTCTCGATTGTGCATTTCTGGCTGTATTTGGTAATCTCTTTAGGAGACTAGGCCTTCTAAGCTTGGTCCCAGCTTATCTCTTAGGAACTTTATGGTTTGGGGCTTTACTCACAGGTCTCTGATTCACCTTGAGTTGATTTTTGTGTCTCCCCAACACTTTATGTGGAGTTCACACTGGTGAGTGTGTGATGTCTAGGCCCGTCCCATGTGGCTGAGCAGGAAGTCCCTTGATAGCATTCCCTGATGGGACAGGATTTGACATGGCCTCAACCCCGTGACTCCTCCAGTGGAGACTCCACTTGTGCTGATTGTATCTGCCAGTCCCTGAGCTTTGACCATCTCCTCACCACTTTCCCAGTGTCTCATGCTGACACCTTCACATGTTCCTCCCGCACTCCTGGGTTCCAAGCCTTAGCTCAAGTTTTTAGTCCCTCCTGGTGCTCTCCTGGTGATCTAAGCATCTATATCTGAATACACACCACTCTACAGGCTCCTAGATTCTGGCTATGCTTCCTGATTCCTGCCCAGAATCAGGCTAGGTGGAGGGATCTTCAATTGAAGCTCCAGATCCACTGCCAACTAGTAGATCCTGGGCTTGTTGCTGGGCGGAACAGACCACTCAGGGTCCACAGTGACTATGCCAGATGCTACTGAGAGATTTAGTGAGGTTGTTAAGACTCCCACAGAGTAGATGTGGGAATGAGGGTGGCCCCTCACAGAGCTTCCAGAACCAACAACACTGCATCTGTCATAAAAAGCCATCAAGAGTCAACTAACATAGACACACAATGGAAGCAGGAGTCCAGCCTGTCCTTCTTTAAGAGATTTTATTTACCATTTACAAAAGAATTTGCATGCAAATTGTGATGATGACTATCTCCTTGGGGAGGGCAAACATGATCCAAACAATCCCTGACCTAAAACATGGGTTGGAATGTACTTATTTGTCTAGCCAGGCCCCCTGCTCAGATTCCTAGCCTCCTAGCATCTCCCCCTTATGTAATACTGTCTGGATCAGGAGTTGGCAGGACACCACAAGGCTCCTTATCCTGGCATTTCTGAATAACACTTCAGCAAATAGACTCAAGAATCACAAAGACCACATGTGCATAGAATTTCTTTAAATACAATCACTGGAATGTTCTAGGAAACTTCTTGGTGGAGCAAAATGTAAAGAGCAGTTCTACATGTCTCTCTCTGGACACACATCTAAATCTCCTTGTGGCAACTTTCCTTGAAGTAGAGCAATGCTTCCTTGCATCAACCATAAAGGCCTTCTTTCCTGGATAACATGCTGTTGTTGCTGTAGCTGTTACATGCCATTGAGTCACCTGTAACCCCTAGTAACCCTATCTACACTAGTTCTGAAACCTGCCTTACTGAGTCAATCTCATAAACTCTGACAGACCTAATCTCATTTCTCAAGTCACTGAGTCAATCCATCTCATCCTGGGTCTTCCTTTTCTGTGCTATCCCTCCACTCTTCCAAGCATGATGTACCTCTCCAAGGACTGGTCCCTCCCTCCTGGCCATGTATTCTTGTTTAATAAAGGCACTTCAGCTAGAGAAAAGGAAGCCAGGACCCTCAGACTAGGCCCTACTTCTGACCTGCTTTTATCTTAAACAAATCCTTCCTTTTTTGGGAATTCCCCTTCCTTATAGCATCACAACAATGGCTTGAGTTGGCTATGGCTGCCAGAATGCATCCTTTCCAACCACAGCTGATGGCTGCTAATTGGCTAGGCTGCTTGGGAAAAAGTGGTGAGGAGGGAAGGTTGGCAGAGGAGTGAATGGGGCAGTGTCACAGGACAGGGAGGTGATGCCAGCCAGAAGCCCCAGCCTTTGACCTGCATCCTCCAGCGCATGCTCAGAAGAACCACTGGGGCCTCAGAATACTTCCTGGAAGAGCTGTACCACAGACAACTTTCACAGAATGGCTGGATTTGAGTTGTTTTGCAATTTGTTGGAGCCTTTCTAAAAATTATTTTCCCATTCTTATCCTAGACTTATGAGCATGGTAGACAGGACTTCTTTTCCTCACTGAAGCAGTCAAGATGACTACGGACAGCCTCTATCCCCATGACTATCTCCAACTCCTCAGCAGCTCAGGGGTCTCTGTGGAGAGTCCTGTAGGCAGGGCCCCTGATGCTCTTCCAGATGGCTTCACAGCCACTGACAGGTGGACACTTCTAGGGCTGAGGCAGCTTTCAAACCAAAAAACCCAAACTTACTGCCATTCAGTCACTTCTGATTCAGAGACCCTCCATCAGTTCCTGAGGATATAGATCTCAACAGGAGAATGCCCATTGTTCTTCCACAGACTGACTAGTAGATGTGAACTACCAAATACATGCGTGCTATTCACTGTGCTATGGACTTTATTACCAGAACTTTGAGAAGGCCTTACTAGGGTTGTCTCCTCTCATGCTTGGCAAGGCCCATTCTACATCTGGTCCTGGTACCACCAGACACAGCAAGTATATACGATACCATGCTTGTCTTTTCCATATCTCCCATGCCCCATAGTTAGTTGGGGTCCTAAGGGTTTTACTGTCCCCCACCCCTGCCCCATTGATTTCCTCTTAAAGCTTTCAAGATTCGCTTTCCTCCAGAGTTAGGTAGTATTAACCCTTCTTCTATGCTGTTCAGAGAGGTTCCAGGTTCCAGATTCTCATCTTCCTTAACCATAGAATCCTCTCAGCCCAAGGAGACCAAGGACTCAGTAGGGCTTGAGGGGTGGAAGGACTAGGGTTAGTACACAGCTGACACAGGGACTTGGCTCCTAGCTGGTTTCTAGCTTCTACAGACAGAATCATCATGGCCATGACAAGAAACTATTTATCAAGAAAGTATTGAATAACTGCGCTCCACAGCCAAAGAGAAGTGATGCTCGGTTCTGAGTGTAAATTTCCACCTTGTAGAGAACCAGAGTTGACTCTAAGGAACAGAGAATGGGGAGCATGACTCAAGTGGCAGGACTGGACACACACTAGAAGTAAGCCTTTTTGTCTACACTTTTTTCAAACTTTTGCATGAGTTCCAAAACCAGAGCTGATTGTATGGGGCTTTCTGAGGCCTTTGGCTTTGGTAACCTCTGGGACTTCTGGGGGGCCAGTGAGCCAGAGACCGTAGGCACAGTGTAGGGGTCAGTGCTCATGGTGGGAACCATTCTGGGTGGAGGGGGGGGGACAGGGGCCCTGGGGGTGCTTCCCAGCCTGTTGTTGTTGCAGTTCTCTTGGGTAGCATCCTCTCTGAGCACAAACTTGGCTGCAGCCTTTGCTTTCTTGAATTTGAGCCACTCCATGCGGACGGTGTGGGGCGCAGGACTGGGACGCCTGCGGAGCATGCGCTGCACAGGCAAGATCTTGTTGGACTTCTTGTTGAGCCAAAAGGTGGCTGTGGAGATGATGACTGTGAGAACCACAGCGATAGCCATGACACTGGCCAGCATGCCCACAGCCTTCATGGGGTTGTCTTTGGTCTGCATCAGGAAGGCAGCCATGGGGCTCAGGGACAGAGTCTGCAAGACAGAACCTTTGTTACCATCTGTCCCCAGAATGGAGTCGAAGGTGTGAGTGTCCGCAGACTTGACAGTCCTAAACTCTGAGCCACGCATCAATTCAGATTGAGAATCTGAAAAATTCTGAGTTCTCTCTAGATAGCAATAGAGAGAGAGAGAGAGAGAGAGAGAGAGAGAGAGAGAGAGAGTGGTGCCCACAGACAGGTGTGAAGCTTACAGTGATGTTCAGATGCACAAAGCCTATTTTAGCTGAATAGTCCCCTTGTAAGACTAAGATATTGCTCAGGCAGCTGTTGTGGAGTCATAGCAGGGTCCTGCAGGATTCTCAGTGGTGATTTTTCCAAGTAGATCACCAGAAAGTAGAGGTACCTCCAGGTGGACTTGAACCTCAAAATTTTTAGTCAACAATCACGCAGGGGCACCAAAGGTACTGCTGATCTTTGATTATGGGGAACCTATCTTCCAAACTCCTTAAATGATCACTTTCCATCAGGTAACAAGCTGAAAACCTATGTATAATAATTTTGCTTCTTTCTTTCAAAACTGGTATGAAGGAGGCAGCCTATTTTCTGCTTTATAGGAAAGAAGCTGGTGGCTTAGCAAAGTCCTAAGTCACATTGTTAAGAAAACTAGGATTCCACCCAGGACCCCTGATTCCAAAACCCGAGTCTAGAAGCACACTCCTGACTGTGTCACAGAGATCAGGGCTGGCTCTCCACTCTTGCCCTCTCACCCACCTCTGTGTCTGTGATGTCAATCCTGAGCAGAGCTGTGGTGCTGAAGGAGGGAGAACCTCGATCCTTGGCCTGTACTTCAAGGGACCACGTGCTGTCCCTGCCAGATGTGAGTTTGTGGAGAGTGTCCAAGGAGTGGATGAAATTCTTCAGCCGGATCTCCCCTGTGTGTGTGTCAATGTCGAACACGTTGGCTGGCTCCACGTGAGTGATAGAATAATCTACCAAGTTGTTGGGTTCCTCTGCATCCTGGTCTGTGGCCTGAGCACAGGGAGGAAGAGATGGTGCTGGGTTTTGAGGATTCTACCCTGAGTTCTTTGAATAAGACTGAATTGAAGAGAAATGGAGGAGGATGGATTGTATACTCTTTTGAGTCACAGCTAACTATGGTCTATCCTCACAACACATCCAGGAAATCTCAAAATGTAAACTTCATGGCTATCAATTTGGAACCAACTCATAGCTGATTGTCCAGAGTGTGTTCAGAGGCAATAAATTGTACAAGAGGAGACCACTCATATTTCTTCCAAGGAGCAACTGGTGGATTCAAACTGCTTGTCTAATATTACATGATGCCACTGTTGTAGAATGGGACTGTCCTTGGGGTTGGGGAGAGACTGAGTAAGATGGGTTCAATAATGTATACTGCACTGAAACAGAGGAGGGAGAGAACCGTCTAAAAGAGAGATGTAACTGGGTATTTCTGTCATGACAGGAGACTAGAGCGAGGGCTGCATGGTGGAGGGGACCTGGGGGAGGGTTTGTAAAACAATGAAAGAATCTTTTCTTTTACTTTTCCATAATTTTTGGACTCATGTACTTATAACTTGTTAGTCAAATTTGTGTCTTCTAGGTTGCAACACCCCTATGATACATCTTGAAGGATATGTACATGTAGAGCCAAGCACAATCAATAAGAGTGCATCTGAATTCCAAAATCAATCTCCATAATAGTCTATGTGTTTCCTACTGCCAAAGGGGCCCTTTAGAGTAGTGAGAGAAGATCTTCACCCTGAAACCCACAGCGTCCCTTTTCAGCAGGAAGTAGCTAAGAGAATACGCCGTCCCCTTTTCCTTATGACTCAGGGTGAAGTCTCTCTCAGGGAGGAGTGATAGGGAATGGCAAAGGATGCACTGACAAAGAAGATTAATCAGAACTGGCTTTGACAAGCACTGTGGCATTTGGACAAGAACAAACTGGGAGGAGGGTAGAGAGAATAGTGCAACAATGAATGCATGGAAACCCAAAATCTCTGTAAATGTTTATGAAAATTAATAAAATATAATTATAGAAAAAAAAATAAAACAAAAAAAAAAAAACCAAACTGCTTGTCTTTGGGTTGGCATCACAATATAAGGTCCCTTAAAGTTCCTTGCACATAGTAACAATCAAATATATATCTCTTGATGAAAGGTAGCTGCTCCTGAAGCCCACCTCAATTTTCAGTGGAGTCCCCAGCACCATGGTTTTCTGCTGGAGATCCTGTCCAAACTGAGGATAGTGGTCATTGACATCCAGCAGAGTGATGAACACCTCGGCCAGGCTGTACTTGCCCTCCAAGTCCTCTGCCTTCACATAGAAGTTGTACTTGGCAGTGGTTTCAGCATCCAGGATGGCCCAGGGCTGGGTATAGATGATCCCGGTGGAGGGGTGGATAAGGAACCTGCCAGGCATAGTGTACACAAAGCATGTGTACACAGTGTACACAAAGCAGGCATCATGTGGCTTTTCCAAGGGTTCACCTTGGTCTTGCCCTCTTTTTTCACTCTGACTGAAGAAGGCAGGTGCACGCATCATCCATCAACACTGAGTTTAGCATCCTCAAACATAGTCCTTGCTTCCCTCACACAGCTTGTCCCCTCCCAGTCCTGTCTGCTCAGTACTGAGCCTTAGGGTCCTAGACCCGTCACAATAATGACACCTTGTCTTCCCAAGTGCACCTGCAGTTCTGCCCAGACGCCCCACTGCTCCTTTCTGCTTTTTTACCCTATGCTTACTTTGAGACCCAGTCCCTGACAGCTTTCGCCTACATTTGGCCTGGATCCCTCACACCTAGCTCCCCTATCCCAAGCCCCAGTGTCTATCCAGTTTCCTGCTGTACTTACAGGTCTGCTCCGCTCCCGTAGATGGAATATTTCACTTCACCCCAGGGGCCTGTGTCTGGATCCACTGCCTAAGAAAAAGAAAGTTCCACTGGCACCTGTGCCTTGGCATGGACACAGTGGCACCTCATATTAGAGGGCTGCTTGCTTTCACTTGAAAGCAAGGGGAAACTGAGGTGCCCTGTGGGACAAACCAATCTTAAGGCTTGTCTAGAACTTACTTCTTCCTCTGAAAAAGCTTCAAGGTATTGGGAGGAATTGAAGATTTAGATCTAAAAATATTTTTATCCCTCTTTTGTACACAGGGCAAGAAAGGTGTAGAACCTATATACTATGCTCAGGTACATCATTACAGTAAAAAAATTAGAAAGCTGAAGTTTAGTAATATTTGTGGTATAGCTTCTGATTGTGGGCTTCTCAATCTAGACCAAAGTTTGTATGAGTCTGCAAGGCCAAAATAGGTCCCGCTTAGTGTGCACCCATCCCTGGCCCCAGTCCCTAGGACAGTTTTCAACTCACTGTGACAGACACCACGTTAGTGTTCCCTGGGGAATTTTCAGGGATCCTGGCAATGTAGTACTGGGAGGTGAACTTGGGGATATTGTCATTGGTATCTAGGAGCTGGATCACCACATCTGCTGTAGAGCTGAACTTCTCTGGGGTGGTCACCTCAATGGCCAGGAGCTGGGGAAAAAGGAAAAGCAGGATGAATGACTGGATGGCATTTGTCCACAGAAAGCCTCCTCACTCACTGCGTCCTCAGAGCTAGACTGGTGCCATTCTTGGCTGTGGCCCCATTCCTGTCACCCTATGCTATTATTGTTGTTATGTGCCGTCGAGTCATTTGTGACTCATAGCGACCCTATGTACAACAGCCCTAAACCCTGCTCTATCCTGTGCCAATCTCATTGCCTCTGACACACCCATCCCGATTACCCCAGGCACTGAATCAATCCACCTCATAGAGGGTCTTCGCCTCCTGCGCTGTCCCTCCACTCTGCCCAGCATGATATCCCTCTCCAAAGACCTGTCTCTCCTTACAACATGTCCAATGTCAGGCGAAGCCCCAGAATCCTTGCCTCCAAGGAGCAGTCTGGTTTAGCCCTCTCTAGGATGAATCTATTTGCTTCCTCAGCAGTCCATGGTACATTCAGTACTCTTCTCCAGCACCACAGCTCAAAGGCGTCAATTCTCCTTCTATCCTCCCTAGTCATTGTCCAACTCTCTGATGCATAACAAGTGATTGCAAAAACCATGGCCTGTATCAGGCAGACCTTAGTCTCCAGAGAGACACCGTTGCTCTTGAGTACTTTAGAGAGGTCCCTAACCGCAGACTTTCCCATTGCAATACACTTTTTTTATTTCCTGGCTACTGGTGCCAAGAGTGTTGACCATGGAGCAGAGCAAACTGAAGCTGTGAACAATCTCGATCTCTTCACCATCCATCCTGATGCTACTGATTGGTCCAGTGGTGAGAATTTTTGTCTTCTTGACATTGAGCCTCAGTCCATATTGAAGGCTGCAGTTCTTGACCCTCTGCAGTAAGTGCATGAGGTCCTCCTCAGTTTCATTGAGCAGGGTTGTGTCATCTGCATAACGCAGATTGTTGATAGATCGTCCACCAATCCTAACACCACGCTTCTCCTCATAGAGCCCAGCCTCTCGGATAATCTGCTCTGCATACAGGTTGAAAAGGTATGGAGACAGGACACATCCCTGGCGTACACCCTTCCCAGTTTTGAACCATGCAGTGTTGCCCTGCTCTGTTCTGACTACTGCCTCTTGGTCCAAGTATAGGTTTCGCATTAGCACGATTAAATGTTCTGGGATTCCCATTCTTCTCAGAGTCAGCCACAGTTTGTTATGATCCACGCAGTCAAATGCCTTTGCATAACCAATGAAACACAGATAGACATTCTTCTGGTATTCTCTGCTTTCAGCTAATATCCATCTAACATCAGCAACAATATCCCTAGTACCACGACCCCTTCTAAACCCAGCCTGGACTTCTGGCAGTTCTCTGCTAATATACTGTTCCAGTCGTTTTTGGATAATCTTCAGTAGAATCTTGCTTGCATGTGAAATCAATGATATTGTTCTGTAGTTTCCACACTCAGTTGGGTCGCTCTTCTTTGGGATGGGAACAAATATAGACCTCTTCCAGTCAGTTGGCCAAGTGGTTGTTCTCCAGGCACAACTTGGTGAGCACATCCACGGCAGCATCTGTTAGCTGAAATATGTCAATTGGTATACCATCTATTCCGGGGGCCTTATTTTTTGCTATTTCCTTCAAAGCAGCTTGAACTTCTGCCTCCATCACCATAGGCTCTGGCTGAAATGCTATTTCATTAAATTCTTCTGTATCTGCCAATTCCTTTCGATACAATGACTCAGTATATTCCTTCCATCTTCTTTTGATACCTCCTGCATAATTCTCATTTAAGAAATCAATGTTGGCTTTTTCCTAAAGCAGCAGTTTCCTCTATAATATCAAGACCATATTTCCCCATTGACTTGAAAAGCCATATTTCTTATGTACTAAATTCCCATCCATACTTGAGTCAATTTATCTTTCCTCCTGATTTTAAAATTCTTTTGCTTCAATAATATCAGTTAAGCAAGTTTCTATTTCTTAATCTTTTTTTTTTCTTATCCACAAGTTCCCTATCTATGTTCTAGACAAAAATAAGTTTGATTTTTCCAAGTTCTCTTCCAAATTACCCCTTGGTCCCCAATACCTGAAAAAAAAAAAATAAGTAGAATGTGATGTCGAAGTCTTTGTTAATTTAAAGTTCTACAGTTATTAAGAACTCTTAAGTTCCTTAAGGAACTCTAGTGGCCTACTACTGATAAGGAGCTTGCTCTCAATTTGAAGGTACATGGTTGGAACCCACTATGAGAGAAAGATGGGCAATCTCTTCCTGTGTGATTAGCTTCTTCAGAAAACCCATTGAAGGGTCAGCTATGGGTAAGTTCCAACTCTACTGTATACAACAATTGGTGGCTTAATGGTAAGGAGTTTCACTGCCAATCCAAAGACATGTGGTTGGAATCCATCAGCTGCTCCACAGATAAAAATAGGAAGTCTCCTTTTGTGCAATTTAATACCTATGAAATTGGTTCCAGCTCTATGGTACATAATGACAAGTTAATCTATTTGTTTTAATAAGGTACGCATTTACTTTTTTGCCTTCTTTAGATCCTTTTTGAAATTTTGTATTCTTTAGGATTTTTTGTTGTTCAGTGCCATCAAGCTGACTATATAACTCAAAGTGACCCAATGAGCAAACAAATCTTTTTTTTTCTATAATTATATTTTATTAATTTTCATAAACATTTACAGAGATTTTGGGCTTCCACTCATTCATTGCAAATCTGAACCATGCCCTGTTCTGTGCAATGATCTCTGATATGCTCAAGTCTATTGTCACTGTGTCAATCTATCTTGATGAAGGTCTTCCTTTCTTTCTCTGACCCTCCACCTCACCTAGTATGATGTCCTTTTCTAAAGACTAGTTCCTCCTAATAATATGTCCAAAGTATATGAGATGACGTTTAATCATCCTTGCCTCTAAGGAGAATCTTGGTTTCACGTCCTCCAAGACAGACTTGCTTGTTCTTTTGGCAGTCCATGGGCTATTAAGTCCTTTTCTCGAACACCACAATTTAAAGTTTAAAAGTCTAAAGACTTTGTTGTTGTTGTTATGTGTCATCGAGTCGCTTGGGACTCATAGTGACCCTATGTACAACAGCACTAAACCCTGCTCTATCCTGTGCCAATTCACTGCCTCTGACACCCACCCGGATCACCCCAGTCACTGAATCAATCCACCTCATAGATGGTCTTCCCCTCTTGTGCCGTCCGTCCCTCCACCCTCCCAAGCATGATGTCCCTCTCCAAGGACCTGATCCTCCTTACAACATGTCCAAAGTATGTCAGATGAAGCCCCAGAATCCTTGCCTCCAAGAAGCAGCCTGGTTTAACCCTCTCCAGGATGTCTGGATAATGCATATTTCTTGTAATGGTAATTTTTAAGATTTTGGTGTTTTGGTTCTTATTGAAAAAGTTGTTGTTTTTATTATGCCATTAAGTAGGAACAAAGACATACATAGCTGAATTGCCAGCAGGTTTTCAGAGGCTGTAAATCTCATGTGAGGAAATTGCCCATCTTTTTCCTAAGGAGCAGCTAGTAGATTTGAATCAACTACCTTTGGATTGGAAACACAACTCCTTATCCACCAGACCACAAGAATTTTTAGGTCCATTATATTTCCTCATTACTATTTTTTGGTAGACAAACCATTGTATTTTGTGTATTAAGTTTCTAATTAGTCATGTTAAAAATTTTGCTATTTTTCTCACTGTTTTTAATTATTTCTTGTAGACTTTTTTTTAAAGCAAACAATCTTATCATCTACAAATAATGTTACCACTGTCTCCTGCTTTCTAAGGTTGCATCTCTTATCATCTTGATCTAGTTTCACTGGATCCATTTCAGAAATACTATTGTGGTTTTGAAGGTTTATTGTTAAAAATTACTTCCCCAGCATTGGTTGACTTTGCCATATGGATGGGCAGGAATAGGTGAGTAGGGTGTGTCAGCCTACAATCACAAGGGGATTGGCTAGTCTCACTATTAAATTAAGCGGATCCAGAAACAGAATATGAGAATCTCACCATAAGCAAAGAAGAAGCAGGTATGCAGTATGTGCCCTTCATGGCTAGAGATTCTTGTGCCAGCTAGAACTATAGCAGCAGCAGCTGTGGCTGCAATGGAGAACCAGAGACCTGACATGAGATAGAGCTGACCTTGATATTGCTACCCTAAGGGAGAACCAGAGCTAAAAGCCTTTGCCTAAGATTTTTGGAAGACTAGCATGAGGTAGATACATAACTGTCAAGACTGAGAACTTTGTAACACTGGCTAAAACCATGAGGCTCAAGGCTAAGGTGTTCACACGCACATTTCAGCATTTCAGAAGCTGTCCTGAGTGATTGTATCTTGCTGCCAACCTGAATTATAGTCCTTTGGTTTCCTTAATATGGTTCTGTGTGGTCTGTGAGCTATTGCAATGGATTTTGAACCCAGGAAAGCAGTAAGATTGATATTAGGATTAATAGAAAGAGGTGCAAGAACATAGGGGACATGTCTGACCTTCTATGGATTGGCTTTTTGTTTTTGATGTTCACATGGACACTTCATCTTTGTAGAGTTGGTGAAAGTCATATAAGGCCATCCCCATATGGTCCTTGTTCTTTTTACAACTGTTGAGCAGCAGTGGTGAATGCAGGCATCCATATGATATTCCTGACTCGTTGTTATTGTTGTTGTTATGTGCTGACAAGTCGCCTGTGACCTATAGCAACCCTATGTACAGCAGCTTTGAGCCCTTCCCTGGTAGCCTATCAGATAGAAGTTGTGCTGCCAACTCAAATGGTAGGTGGTCTGAGTCTACCAAGTGCTCTGCAAGAAAAAGATGGGCTATCTTTTCCCATATAACTTACAACCTCTGAAAACCCATTAGAGTGTAATTTATGAATTGGTTTTGACTTGATTGCAGTCAGTTCAAGCGTTTTTAGTTTACTATTACATTAGGGCGTGCTGCAAGGTGCGATCAGTCCTTGGAGAGGGACATCATACTTGGGAGGGTGGACAGACAGTGCAAGAAATGAAGACCCTCAATGAGGTGGATTGATTCAGTGATTGGGGTAATGCGGGTAGATGTGTCAGAGACAATAAGGTTGGCACAGAATAAAGCAGGGTTCAGAACTGCTGTATAAAGGGTCACTTGACACATAACAACAAACAACTACATTAGGATCAGAGGAAAATTCATCAACTACCTGGATTATGCACGTGACCCAACCTTGCTAGCTGAAAGTGAGGGGGCCTTGAAATGTTTGCTGCATAAGACCAAGGACTGAAGTCTTCAATATGGATTATATCTCAACAACAAAAAGATGAAAATCTTTACCACTGGGCCAAAAGACAAGATCATTTTCGATGAATAAAAGACTGAAGTTGTCAACAATTTTATCTTGCTTGGATCCACAATCAATGCCTTTGGTACCAACAATCAAAAAATCAAAAGAACATGACATTGGGAATATCTGCTGCCAAGGACCTCTCAAAGATTTAAGAAGTAATAATGTCCTTTTGTGCCTGAGATATTTCACTCAGCATAATGTCCTCCAGGGTCACCCATTTTGAATATTTCATGAGTTCCTTGTTTTTCAATGCAGCATAGTATTCCATTGTGTGAATATACCACAGCTTGCTTCTCTATTCATTCATTTGTTAATGGGCACTTAAGATTGTTTCCAACTCTTTGCTATTGTGAACAAAGCCGTGATAAACATGGGTGTGCATATATCTGCTTGGGTGGCGGTTATGGTTTCTTTGAGGTATATTCCCAGTAGTGGAAATGCTGGGTCAAATGGTATTTCTATTTGCAACTTTTTGAGAAAGTGCCAAACTGCCTTCCATAGTGGTTGCACCATTTTACACTCCCACCAACAGTGAATAAGGGTTCCTATTTCTCGGTAACCTCGCCAGTCTTTGTTGTTTGCTGTTCTGCTAAATTTTGCTATTCTTACTGGGGTAAGATGATATCTCTCTTAGAGCTAGAGATTTTGAACATTTCTTCCTGTGGGAGACTGAGAAAGGTGGGATGATGAGAGAGAACTATTTAAAAGGGATATATGATTAGTATTATTGTCATGACAGGAATCCAGAACGAAGGTTGCATAGTGGAGTGGACTTGAAGGGAGGGATCGTATAACAATGAAAGAATTTTTCTTTTACTTTTCAAAGACAAGAGTAAATGGGGCAGGGGAGGTTGGGCAGAGAGAAAAGTGCAACAGTGAATGAATGGAAATCTAAAGTTCCTGTAACCTTTCACTAAAATTGTTGTTGTTGTTGTTATTTGCTGTCGAGTCGTTTGTGACTCATAGTGACCCTATGTACAACAGCCCTGAACCCTGCTCTATCCTGTGCCAATCTCATTGCCTCTGACACACCCATCCCGATTACCCCAGTCACTGAATCAATCCACCTCATAGAGGGTCAGAGGGTCTTCCCCTCCTGTGCTGTCCCTCCACTCTACCCAGCATGATGTCCCTCTCTAAAGACCTGTCTCTCCTTACAACATGTCCAAAGTATGTCAGACGAAGCCCCAGAATCCTTGCCTCCAAGGAGCAGCCTGGTTTAACCCTCTCTAGGATGAATCTGTTTGTTTTCTTGGCGGTCCATGGTACATTCAATAAATACTCTTCTCTAGCACCACAGCTCAAAGGCAAAGGCATTAAAATTAGTAAAAATAAAAAAGAAGTAATAATGTCAGCTCCAACACTAATGAATTATAATTATATCTGAATAAAGTCATGGTCTTTTCAATTACTTGTTATACATCTGAAAGTTGGACAGTGACTAAGGATGACAGGAGACACCTTTGAGCTGTGGTATTGGAGAAGAATAGTGAATATCCCATAGACTGCCAAAAGAACTAACCAACATGTCTTGGAGAGAGTGAAAATGGAATGCTCCTTGGAGGCAAAGATAGTGACACTTCATCTCATGTATCTTGGGCATGGTGTCAGGACTGACCAGTCTTTAGAAAAGAACATCATGCTTGGAAAAGTAGAGGCTCAGAGAAAGAGAGGAAGACCTTCAATGAGATGGATTGACCCAATGACTATAACAATGGGCTCAAGAGTTTCAGAGAAAATAAAGATGATTTCAGATAGGCAGGGTTCAGATTCATTATTCATAGGGTCATTATGAGTCATAGTCAACTTGATGGCGCCTAATAATAACAACAAATACATTAGAAGTGCTAGGGGCACAGTGGAGTGCTCAGATGCTAACTGAAGAGTCAGCAGTTCAAACCTACCAACAATTTCCAGGGATAAAGATGTAACAGTTTGTTTCTTTAAAAATTAGTCTTGAAGACCCTATGGGGCAGCTCTGCTCCATCTTCCTATTTAAAAGTTGGAACAGATTCTACAGCAATGGAATCAGTTTTGGGTTTGTTTGTTTTTATTGCATTATTTATATATTCACAAATATTTATAACTTTCAATAATCATATACAATAAGAAATATTTTCTCTTTTCTGCTAAGGTTTTCATTGGAATAGATGACAAATCTCATTAAGGCAAATGAGAAAACATTCATCATGATAAGCACATCTCTTAACCTGGGGACATGGTAAATGATATCAATAGCTTTTCTCTGAATCCCTTTTGTGTTCCTGAGAACAGTGGTAGAAGCTGAAGGTATCAGTGAGGTTCTTTCTAATCTTCTTCTCTCCCCTCTCCACCCTGCTCCCCAAATTGGTCTCAGCAGGAGAGATGAGGGTAAGAGTGGAACCATCAGGAGCACAAGTATTGGAAGGCACTTCAAGAATATTTCAGACACGTGGCCCCACCTATCTAGTTCCTGAACCCCCACCTACCTTGAAGGCTAGCACTTTGGACATTTCAAAATCAATGGCAGCAGAATTCTCCACAATGATTGTGACTTGGGCTTCATTCAGGACCGTTTGAGGGACAACTCGGAAGATGTCCCCAGGTCCAACCATCTGTAAGTTAAATTTGGCATTGGCTCCCTGGGCAATCATAGTTGGAGGAAGAAACAAGAAAGATAAAGAAGAATATAAATTCACTACTTTTGTTAACACTGGATCCTTCATACAACCCTAACCCTGAGAAACTAAAGATTTCCTATAGGTGAGGAGGTCATGACTTCTGACCAGTTTTGAGGGTATATCAAGGTTATCAATCTCCAGCCAGTTAAAATAATTAAGAAAACAAACACATAAGGCTGGGAAGCATGGCTTGTCAAAGAGGTGATGGGACACACAAGCTTCTAATCTGTGGGCCAGAAGAAGGGATGTGCTTATTTGACTGACTTTCCATTTCTAATTGATGCTAAGTTAAGCAAGAGTCTGATTAATGTCCTTCCAGCTCTCTCTCTTGGCTTTACCCTCTTGCTACCTTCATTGCTCTGACCAGCCTGGCCCTACACACACACACACACACACACACGAAGACTGACACACTTTGGGCCCCAACAGGGTAGCACACACACCTGGTCTGAATCATTGACTGTGATCTTAAGTCCCCGAAGGATCTCACCCTGGGGTGGATGCTCATACAAGAACAGCTCAAACTTGTTCTGTGGTCCATTTTCTCCATAGAATGTTGGGAGATGGTTGTTGAGGTCCACAATCCTGATGGTAACGGAGACCATGGTGTAGGCAGCTGAGTGCCCTGCTGAGCTGACTTCAGTTGCCTGGGTGGAGACAGGGCCCATGACTAGCTGGAAGACTAAGATGCCTCCTGAGTCCTCTTTTCTGGTGTTGGTGCTTTTGTGCTTTGTGCAGTTCTCTCTCTTTACTTTTGTCTTGAAGGTCCACTTTTCCCTCGTTCGCAAGTATGCTCAGATCTTAACTACTCTTAAAAAACCAAACCAAAACCAGACTGTCCCTGGGCTCTAGTTCCCCACAGCACTCTGCCATCGAGGAGCCTACAGCTGTATTTCTGCTGTGTCCCACTTCAATTTCACCCACATCCCTGATTCAATATAGAACATGCTACAGTGACCTTCACCTGCTCTTTCATAGCCACCAACTTTCTCCTCCTTAAGAGTAGGGACAGTTTGGCTCTACTATTTTTAGGTCCTCTTTTATCTTTCATCTCTTTTATTGTTCCTCTTTTCTCTTGAGCTCTGATCCCCTTACTTCCCTAACTATGTATTAGGCCAATTGTTCCTCAGTCTTTGCAGCCATCATCCAGTTGACCTCAACCTCTCCTCAGGCTTTTATACCTCTCCATATGTTGATGCAAGTATCTCCCCCAAGTCTCCAATTTTTATGTTGAAATTTGCATGTTTCAACTGGTGTGGCCAAAGGCATCACTTATTCCTTTTCTCTGTTCCTTGTAGAAAGTCTCAGACTTTCTTTATCTCCTCTTACCTCTCACTACCAATTAGATGCATGATCTCTGAAATTGAGCTTCTAAATAATTTTAAATTTATCTATTTCTCCCATTCCACCTCTCTTCTCCCTTTTGTTGTTGTTAGGTACCTTCAAGTTGACTACAACTCACAGTGACCCTATGAACAACAGATCTGAACCTTGTCCTATTCTTGTGTCATCCTCATCAATATGCACAAGCCTATTGTTACAGTTACTGGGTCAATTCATCTTATTGAGGGTGTTCCTCTCTTTATCTGAACATCCACCTTCCCTAGCATGATGTCTTTGTCCAGGGATATCATGCTCCCTGTCTCCAGTCAGTTCCCTCCACATCCTAGTCTGGATTATCAGCTCTCCAATGCCACATTGGGAGTATAACCAAATTAGTTTGGAGCTTGTACAATTGTATAATTCTGGCTTACCTCAGACTCACCAAATCACTATTTCCCAGAGTGGACCTTGGAATTATCATTTGTCAGATTCTTCAACTCTAGGAACTCCACTGGCCTGGTCAGCTTCCAGAATGAATTTTCTATCATGTGAATTCTAATCCTGTTCAAAACTTTTCATTGTTTCTTTATTGATCCAGGGTAAGGCTAGTTACATAATTTGTACAGTCCAGTGTGTCATGAAGATGACAATCCTCTCATTAGAACTTTCTGATGTCAAGATCACAAGAGAAGAGTAGTAAGTCCAGCATGGCACCTTTCTTATAGTGGTGGCATGTTCACAGAGCCAGCCTTACCCTGATAATAGATCAGAGTGCTCTTTCAGGGACCCAGCCTGGGAGCCACCTTTTTTTCCTTCAGCATGAGACCATGGATGGAGCCAGGTCCATATTGGCTCCAGATCCTCCAGCTAAACCATTTAGGCTTTCAGAGCTAAGAAGATCTCCACTCTTCCTTCCTCTCCTTTCACTAGCTCTTCCTGAGTGCTCCTGCCCATTCTCAAGACACTGCTCCAGTCCCACCTTGCCTGTCTTTTCACAAATGTCTGGTTGTAGAAGCTTGTCTTTTCTTCTCTGCATCCATAAGACACATGATATAGGTGTTCCTTGAGCAACTGCTAGCCCCTTCCAGACTGTGAGTACCTCTGTAGGGCCAGGCAGGGCTCCCTGGATCTGAGAGATACAAACACTGGTGGAGGTGATAATTGGCCATGAGAGTATCAGGAGGAGGAAGACTGCAGGATGGGGGACAGGATAGGCAGGGAGGGGCAAGCCCGAGGGAGGGTACCTGAACTTGGAGCTCATACACTTCTCTTCGGAGCTGAGCAGGGCTCTGCATGATTGATATGACTCCAGATGTCTCATTAATTTCAAAGGCTCCATCACTCCCTGTAAGACCAGAAATGCACTCCACAGTTCTGTACAGGTTTGTAGGCAGCTGTACAACACTGAAAGCCAGCGTTCTCCGTGCTTTATCTGTCTACATTTTGCCAATGATAAAATAGGAAGAAAAGGGCACAGCAGAAAAAAGAAAGTCAGAGAAGGACAGAAAAGGGAGGAGAAGGGCAGAGAAGATCAGAGAAGGGCAGAGAAGTTAAGTCATAGAGTAAGTACAGAGTTGAGCTTTGAACACTGTTTCTCAGTTTCCACACTGCTTCCCTTTTCTTTTGGGTGCTGCTTTGTGTGAAAAAGAAATGGGAGAGGGGGAAAGAGAGGAGGGAAGAGAAAAAAGAGAGAAGAGAGGAGAGAGAGTGTGAGAGACAGAAGAGAAAAAAGGAAAGAGGGAGGAGCAAGAGAAGAGGAGAGGGGGAGAAAAAGGGAGAGAGGGGAGATAAAGGAAGAGAGGAGGAGAGGGGAGAAAAAGGTAGAAAGAAGGATGAAAGGAAGAAGGCCTGGAGAGGAAGAGGAAAGGGGAGGGAAAGAAAAGAGGAAAGAATGAGTAGAAAGAAACTGTAGAGGAGAGGAGAGGAAGAGAGTGGGGATCAGACAAAGTAATGAGGAACATGACTTTTAAGTGTGTACAGTTTTGTAATGAGGTGGGAGGGGAGTCTTTCAGAGTTTGTGTCCCCAGAGAAGGAGTCATGTATGGCATGGAGCTGTTCCTGTGTGAGCTGTGGAGGGTGAGTGTGCACCAGGCAGGCCCAGGGCACAGTGTGAGTCCACGGTGGTTCTGGGTGAAGTGTACCAATGAACGACTGGCCAAACCCACTCTCATCCAGTTGGTTCTAACTCTGAGTGACCCTCCATTGGGCTTCAAAGACTGTAAATCTTTGTTGGAAGACACTATCAGTCTTCTTCAAAGTAGTGAATTGAACTGTAGTAGTCTTATTAAGCACTATACCACAAGGGCTCTTTAGGATGAAGCAATAGACAGCGCATAGGGGTGATCTGACACCAGCCTTGTCCTGCTGTTGTTCTTAGGTGCCATCCAGTCACCTACACCTGCAACTCATAACAACCTTATGCACAATAGCTCTGAACCCTGTCCTATCTTGAGCCATTCTCACTGTCTCCAACACACCTAACCCCATAGGGACCAGCTAACCCAGGATAGGATGGGCCAGTCAGTTACTGCCTAGTTATGGAAAAGGAATAGATTTGAGAGCAAGAAAACCTGGGTTCAAATCTAGTGATGGGAACTTGGGATGCCCCTTTAGTGTCTCTAAGCCTCAGTTTTCTCATAAGTACCTAGAGCTTGTACGAGAGAGCTGCTGTATCAGCATTACATTTAATTCAGTTATCTGCTCTATGCCAAAACATTAAGAAACAGAACAAGCTCACACATACAAAATCAATTGGTCAACTGAATAAAAACCAAGCAATTTTGCATGTAAGGAACATTGCTGCCGCTGTCACCAGTGAACACAAGTCTGGGGAGAAGGAGGAGGTAAAGTGCCCCCACAACCCATGCAGCCCTAACTATTACTGAACACAGTGACTAGTAGGGGTGCTCCCACTAAAAGATGGACAGAGATGGGCAGCCTTCCAGTTCACTCTGGCCCAGGCAGCCCCTTGCTATCACAAGCACAGTGACTAGTGGGAGGCCCCACCCTAGAAGGCAGATGGCCTCCTGGAAGACTTGACCCACCTTCCTCAGAGCACCCACCACTTTTAGGAGTCCAGGGTACAGAGGGCCCTGACCTTCCCCATGGTTAGGCAAAGTAAGAACAGTAGCAGAGCCAACTGACTTACCGTTCATGAGGCTGTAGAGAACGCGGTTGGGTTTGCCTCGATCTCCATCCATGGCCACCACAGTCAGCACCTCTGAGTCCTGCTGAGCGGGAGACCCTGCTGAGGCTGGTGGTGGTGCACACCCCTTCCTAGCCTGCACTATTGCTGGACAGGGTGTGAGTGCTGGGATATCCCACTCACTCTTCTGGGGATCCCAGGGTAGAAGGGATTCCAGAGTAGAGGAGAGTCCAGAGGCAGACAGGCCTCCCAGGGTAAAGGCACAGAGAGGGCTCCAAAAGCAGAGGGGGTTCCAAAGCAGAAGGGCCTCCTGGGGCAGAGGGGACTCCTGGGTCAGACAGGCTCAAGAGCAGAGAGGCTGGAGCTCTTTGGGCTCTGGGCAGCTCCTTTCCCCATGTGGGCTGGGCATGTGGACTGTTCAGTGACCTTACCACCTCTTCTCCCCAACACCACACACCACACTCTTCTCTCTTGTCCTCTGTGTCTCCTTACTGGCTTTCAGTCTTCAACCCACCCCATAGGCCAAGGAAAGGTAGTGGAAAGGTGAGGTGAGCAGGGCAGACCACATAGAGCCTCAGGTAGAAAGCTCGGGAATTAGGGTTTGATCCAACAGGGCCTAGGGCACCCTATCAGGGCTATTTTTGGCCCCTGTCCACATTGCTGCCTGCCAGGAAACTTTCTCCTGCCCCTGCTCTCAGCTCTGGCATCACTGGCTAGGCTTTCAATGCCATGAAGGACCTGGATACTCCTGAGGTTAGACATGCTAGACCGTGGACACCAGGCCAAGGAGGGCATGTCTGAGTTTTGGGGAGACACAGAGTGGCTTGGAGACCAAAGCTGGAGCCAGAAGGGGAAGGGATTTGGGGGCCAGTGAGGGTGGAACCTCATCTGAGTTGCCAGCTTGGGAGGCACAAAGGGTGTTGTCTTCCTAAGACCACAGCCTCCCACTGCTTGAAGCAGCCATATCAAGCCCAGGATCCCCTTGTCTGCCCCAGCCCTCTCCTGGCATCACCCCACAAGATCTGCACTGGCTGCGTGCTGTGGCAGCATGAATGATTGACACATGTCGAACACTGCACCAACAGCAGATACAGGAGCCCATGTATCCTCCTTTATATTTGGAGCTTGAGCCTAGCCATCATGGCCCCAAAGACCCAGAAGTGTGAGGACAGAGGATGCTGGGCTGAGGTGCAGCCACCCACCGGAAGAGAGTCCTCATACACATAGCCATAGTAGGGTGTGCCCACGAAGATGGGGGCTGTGTCCTGGACGTCCTCCACGCTGACTGTGATGGTAGTGGTAGCTGAAAAGGAGATGTCAGCTCCCCGGAGCCTCCCTCCTCCATCCTAGGAGAGACAGAGGCCCAGGAATGGTGAAGGGCTGGGGTTCTGGAGTCCCTATCTAGCCCCAGCTGACACTCTCTCTGCTGAATGTGTTGTGTGTGATAAGAGGTAATCCTCATCTTGTAACTGATGTGCTGTCACTTCTGGTCAGTGCTTTTGGAAACAGTCTCATTTTCTTCAGAGAATTCATGTGCAGCCAGCAGCAGAGAAGGAGGGGAATCAAACCCCTAACACTCCCCAGTCCCCTACCCCCTAGTTCCTAGAAGTCTGTTATGGGGTCAAATATAGTGAAAATCCTCTAAGAGAAGGCGAGGCCCAAGGGATGATAATTGGAGCTCTGGTGGCTTAGTGGTAAGGAGTTCCACTTCCAACCAAAGGCATCAGGTTTAAATGCACCAGCTGCTCCTGAGGAGAAAAATAGGCAACTAATCCTCCCCAGTAATTAACTGCTTCTGAGAGAGAGTCAGCTATGAGTTGGTTCTGACCTGATGGTACATAACAACAGCAACAACTCTGGGGGAGTAAAGTCTTGTGAGCAGGGCAGCCACTAAACTTGAATCCTCCTAGGTGTTTTAGAAACACCATGAAGTTACAGAACTGTATTGAGCTGTCCTTTACAGAGGAGGAAAGAGCTTCAGGGAGAGACTGGTCATGTGGAATGGAGGAAATGAGGTGGACAATTCATTCTGGCAAGGGAGATGGCCATGCTGTGGACCAAGTCATGGGGACATAGGACACCAGGGTCTCCAGTCCAGCAGATCCCACAGAGATCCCCAGCAACTGCTTTGCACCCTGCACCATTCCTCCTGCTCTTCACAACACCTCAGCCCAACTAGACCTCCCTGTTTTCCTGTGCTCCAACCACTTTCCCCTACAAAGGCTGCTATCTACCTGCCTTTGCTCCATTACCTTGGCAACCACTGTGACAAGGTGGGTCTGGGCCTTCTCATAGTCCAATGTCGTTCCGGGCTGCAGGCGCAGCACTCCGCTCTGGCGGTCCATAGCAAACATAGTGGAGTGTGGGTTCTACAAAGGCAAGGGCAGGCTGGGCCTCTGCTTAGCCACAAGAGTCCTTTGAGCCTGTCCTCCAAGAGCCCGAAGAGCATGCTTTTCTGACTCTCTAGACCCCCTCTAAGGAGCTTTGGACATCCTTTGCCATGCCCTCCTTCAGGACCAGAAATATTCCCTTCTGGCAGGGCCTCATTGCTTCTCTCAGCTGAAACCCACACTGGGCTCAGCATTGGGCTAGCTTTTACCTGGAGTGCCCCAGCAGAAGGTGGGTGCTGAGCATTCTGGTGGAGAAGGAACCATCTGGACCTTCATATACACCTAGAAGAGCCTCTGGGTGTCAGAAGATCATGGTGAGGTGCGTTTGTGGGGGAGCATGGTGGGTGGGGCTGGAAGAGGCTCTCCCGTGACTATGCTGATGCTCTGTGCTTCTCTAACCTCACAACAGGCTCATCTGTGATTTTGCTCTTGCACAGGAGGAATGAAACATCATGTCGAGGATGACAGGAGTGGCAGATAATAGCATCGCCCAGAGTCATGGGTCCTGGGGTATTTCTCCAAAGCTTTTAGCAACTAAGAGCTACTGCTTTGAGAGCTATGAGCACAAGGACGCAAGTGTGAAACAAAGAGCAGATGCTACAGACGCAGCCTCCTGAGGAAGTGAGACTGGCTTTGGAGGGCTAGCAGAGCAGGAATGGGGCCTAGGATACCTGTGAGTTGGAACTCTGGCCTCTTTGGAGAGTTGATTCCTCAGCTCTTTCCCCTGCCAAGATTTGTCTACACTGTTCTTGTTGCTATTATGTGCTGTCAGTTGACCATGACTCATAGCAACCCTATGAACAATTGATCTGAATCCTGTCTTATCCTGTGTCATCATCATCATTATCATCTCTGAGACCCTTGAGCCCGTTGCTATAGTCACTGTGTCAATCCATCAGTCCATCTCATTGAAAGTCTTCCTGTCTTATGATGCTCCACTTTCCAAGCATGATGCCTTTTTTCTAAGAACTGACCCTCACTGAATGCAAATTGGTGGACCTTCTCCTGGGGAAAGGTTAAGTGGTTCAGAAGATCTAAACAGAAGTAAGGAGCAGGCCACCTGCCAGGCATCCCAGATGGGCCAGTCAAGGGGACAAAGCTACTGCCCAAAGCCCCAGGAATGTGCCCATCTATCTGCCTACTCTTATGCTGTGAGACTCCAGTGATCACACATGAGATTTTAGGGTAGCAGCAGAAGTGCTGACCCGAGTATCTTAGTGAAGGTGGAGAGTGCCTGGTGTTTCCTCTAGTCTGAAGCCTCTGGTTTCCTGTGTGCTCCACCTTACCTGCAGGAAGTAGGTGACACTCCCTCCAGAGCCTGTGTCTTTGTCCACCGCACGGACCTTAAAGATGCTGTTCCCAGCAGGTGTGTCCTAAGGAGTCAAGGCTATAGGAGGTCAGTCAGGGACAACAGCAAGAAGGGAAGGAGCTGCTAGGAGCCCAAGAGGTGTGGGCTCAGTGAGGTTTGGGGTTAATGGAAATGTAAAATAGTGTTGCAATTTGGGAGCTTCCAGGGCTGGAGTGTGTGCAACAGAAAGCCCAAGACTGCAAACAAGGAGTTTAAAACAGGACACAACTTACAAAGGAGGAAATGGTGAACAAAATGGGAATGGTCTTGTCATGAGACATCATCGACACACATATATGGCATTATCTTGCAGCCTTAGCAAATATTTAGACTCTGGGGAGGGACCTGGAGAGATAGCAAATAGGAACTGCTCTGGAAGACATTGGACAGTTCTGTCCATAGAATCACTCACAGTTTGTCACTTTGACATTTAATATCTTGGTCTGAATCTTAAGGAAATAATGCTAATTAGAAAAAGATGGCGGAGGATGACGCGGCCCATGGGCGACAAGGCTCGGATTCCATGAGGGGGCCCATTCAGCAGCCGCTGCTGCTTCCTCAACAGAAAATGGGTGAGCTGCCTTTAAACATCAACATCCAGGAGCCTTGATGGGACCAAAGTACTTTCATGGGCAGAGCCCGGCACTTCTTCACTGTCACTGACCCCCGGAACCTGCTGCTGTCCGGAGCACAGCTGGAAGCTTCCCGGAACATTGTGCAGAACTACAGGGCTGGTGTGGTGGTTCCAGAGCTCACTGAAGACCAGCTATGGAGGGCCAAATACGTGTATGACTCTGCCTTCCACCCGGACACTGGGGAGAAGGTGGTCCTGATTGGCCGCATGTCAGCCCAGGTGCCCATGAACATGATGATCACTGGCTGCATGCTCACCTTCTACAGGAAGACCCCAACAGTAATGTTCTGGCAATGGGTGAACCAGTCCTTCAATGCCATCGTCAACTACTCCAACCGCAGTGGTGACGCTCCCATCACAGTTGGGCAGTTGGGAACAGCTTATGTGAGCGCCACTACCAGAGCTGTGGCCACAGCGCTGGGTCTCAAATCTCTCACCAAGCACCTGCCCACTCTGGTTGGCAGATTTGTCCCCTTTGCAGTGGCAGCTGCCAACTGCATTAACATCCCCGATGAGGCAGAGGGAGCTGCAAGTGGACATTCCAGTGACCGATGAGGCAGGTCAGAGACTTGGCCACTCAGTGACCGCGGCCAAACAGGGAATCTTCCAGGTGGTGATATACCAGAATCGGCATGGCCATTCCTGCCATGGCCATTCCCCCTGTGATCATGAACAGTCTGGAGAAAAAAGACTTTCTGAAGAGCCGTCCTTGGCTGGAGGCACCACTGCAGGTGGGATTGGTGGGCTTCTGCCTTGTATTCGCTACCCTCTTGTGCTGTGCTCTGTTCCCCCAGAGGAGCTCCATCCATGTGAGCAGGCTGGAGCTGGACCTCAGAGCTCAGATCCATGAGCAAAATCCTAGCATCGAAGTGGTTTACTACAACAAGAGCCTTTGAGAGAGGGTCAGCCCTATCCCCCTTCTTCATCGCCTCGGAGTGCTCTTGAGTGGAGCCCTGTCATTCCTTCCACTTTCTTGTTTGCCTGCCACTGGGCAGAGGACTGTGAGGGGCCCTGAGACCAGCAATATATTAGGCTAGGGGACATGCCCTCATAGGCCTTTTCCTTTCCTCTCTGGTTCCAAAGAGCAGGGTCAGATAATTCTTTTTTTTTTTTTTTGCTAGAACATAATTCACTTTATTTGTTATAGAAAATCCACTAGGTGGTGGCCACAGCTGGAGCCTGAGTCCTCTGCACGGAGACTCTGGTGTGAGTCTTTACAAGATGATCTGTGAAT